TCTCAGCCTCCTGAGTAGCTTGAGTGCATGAGTGACCAGAACCTGGTCTGTTTTAAATTTCTTTTATTACCTTAAGTAGTTGTATAAAGGGATTTTAGCATGTCAGTTTATGAGTACAATATATCTTGATGTCATTATTCTAAATTTTATATAAATGCTTAAATTTTGTTTCAAGATGGAAATGTGACTTAGTTGGAAAGTACAGGCTCAGTATATGGCCTTAAAAGCAATCATCTTCAGCACCAAGAAAAAAAAAACTCTCTAAATATTGGCATCAAGAAAATAAGATATGCTACCAATTCAGGCAGATAAAGAGTATAAGAAGGAATTCAAATTTAATGAGCCTCTACTATGCCCCCCACAATAACAGTAAGTAAGCTTATTTTACCAAAGACAGAAAGCCTCAAAGTAGTCAATGCTCATGAGCCCAGGACTTGTTATCAATTTCAGACTGAAGGTAGGTATCCGGGTACCACCAACTACACTAAATGGACTGCCAGTCTGAAAGTTTATTATTCTCACTGATTCTATGATTCCCATATCCTGAGTGAGCAAACCCAAGCTTAGGAATCAAGTACGGACACTTGCTAAAAGTCCCATGCAAGGAGACAGAAGGGCCTGTGTTTGAATGAAGCTCCTTTTGCTTAGCTCATATTCTCAGCTCCTAAAGTACACTTACAATACCCAGTGGAATAAGTATTCAAACCCAGAGAGCTTTGTAACTATAAGACAAAATAGCTCAATTCTTATTTTGTCTTTGTATTCTCTGACGAAGGGGGCGGGCATTGTACAGCAGGGGGATATGCTGGACAAAGTGATTCACAGTGTGGGTATGATGAAGGGGAGCAGGGTGGAATTTTCTCATGTTTCTCAGAATGACCTGCAACTGCAAACTTGAGAATTATTTCTTGAGCCATGGAGACTGGAACACCTGTTAATGACTCTTATTAACAAGGCCCCATCTGACCCACTCCATCCACTATGGGAACATCTCTGGTCACCCCTGAACACACCTATGACTTGAGACATGTTTGAACTATATGTGCTTTATATTCCCTGGCCCTTAAATGTAAATCTCATGGCTAGAATAAATTTTATCTAACCAAGTTAAGTCTTGGTTAAAAGTATGAAAACTTTTTTTTGAGATTATCAATCTAGGAAAAATTAGGTATCTGCCTAATGAAAAGGAGTAAGATAAATCTCATCTTGATTTACCAGAAAGAAACATGATGTTGCCAAGGATCAAGCAAACCAAACATATGTACAGAATATACAAGGACAAGGTGGCAGCATGGGAGTCTGTGGGGAACAGTAAGCAGGCAGGGAACAAACTTTTCTCACAAAAGAGCTTCACAGCTTGTGGCTAAGGGGAAGACTAACAATGTGAAGTCCTAATTACCACAACCTCTGACAAGTTCTGCATACTCTCCTCCTAAGCAAAACTAAGAACCATAAGGATGATAACATATGAAAGTGAATTGCTAATTTATTAAAGGACAGAATGCAAAGACTACTGATTAATCTGTACTAAAGTATGGGAATTTCTACAGCACATCATAGGCTTTTATCAGCCTTGCCTAGTTTCACAATTTTAATCAATGACTTAGATAAAGTCTGATAGCATTTTAGGAAGGTTACAAATGTCAAGACTTAAAATTAAGAGTATAATACATGACAAAGACTCAGAAAAATTCCCTACAACTAGGAAAAAAGTATATTCCATAAAAACAAAGAGCAAGTTCTACCCTTAGATATTTTTTAAAGTTATAAAACAAATAAAAATAAGGAAACACACTGGCTTTATGGTAATGTGTATGACAATCAACTTGATGTCAGTTAGGACCAGAGGCTAACATCGTTAAAACTGTGGCTCAAGTAGTTGAACTTACCCATCAAGCAAAAAAAGAAAAAGCTAGCAGCCGGGTGCCGGTAGCTCATGCCTATAATCCTAGCTGCTCAAGAGACTGAGATCTGAGGATCACGGTTCAAAGCCAGCCGGGGCAGGAACATCCATGAGACTTTTTTGGTTTTTTCGGTTGGACTTGGGACCTGAACTTTGGGCCTCAGCACTGTTTCTCAGTTCTTCAGCTCAAGGCAAGAGCTCTACCACTTGAACCACAGTACCATTTCCAGTTTTCTGGTGGTTAATTGGAGATAAAAGTCTCACGGACTTTCCTGCCCAGGGTTGGCTTTGAACCATGATCCTCAGCTCTCAGCCTCTTGAGTAGCTAGGATTACAGGCATGAGCCAACAGCACCCAGCCTCGTGAGACTCTTATCTCCAATTAACCACCAGAAAGCCAGAAGAGGGCCCAGTGGCTCTAGTGGTAGAGTGCTTGCCTTGAGCTGAAGAGCTAAGAGATAGCTAGCGCCCAGGTCTAGAGTTCAAGTCCCACAACCAAAAAGAAAAATAATAATAAAAAAAGAAAAAGAAAAAAAAGGAAAGAAAAAGAAGAAAACTAGAGTTAGCCAGGTACCAGTGGCTCATGCTTGTAATCCTAGCTACTCAGAAGGCTAAGATCTGAGGATAGTGATTCAAAAGCCAGCCCTGGCAAGAAAGTCCATGAGAGGAGGAAGAAGAGAAGGGAGAGGAAGAGGATGAGGAAGAAGAAGAGGAAGAGAAGGAACCTAGAGCTGATCTGGAGCCAGTGGCACAATTTGAAGACAGTCTGGACAGAAAAATCCATAAAACTCTATCACCAATTGGCCACCAAAAAAAAAAAAAGAAAGAAAAGAAAAGAAAATGGAGCTGTATGCTCAAGTGATAGAGCACCAACCTTGAGCAGAAAAACTAAAGAACAGGGAGGAGGAGGAGAAGAGGGAGGAAAAAGAATAGGAAAGGGGAAGGCAGAAGAAAAAATAGGGTTGGAGACAGGTGGTAGAGCACCAGCCAATGAGCAAAAGCATCAGATACTGAGTTTGAGTCTCAGTCTCAGGAGAGAAAACAAAAACAAAAACAAGGATATAGATAGGACAACAGCTGCATTGGTTAACCAAACTCTTGTCACTGTGTTCAGATGTACACATATTTAAAAACAAAAGACAAAAAATACTGAAGGGGGGCTGGGAAGGTGGCTCAGTGGTAGAGCGCTTGCCTTGCATGCTCGAGGCCCTGGGTTCGATTCCTCAGCACCACATAAGCAAAAAGAAAAAA